GAATACTGAGTGCTTTTCAATTAACAACAAACACGTAATCCAGTTCGTGCACGTGTTTCGTAAGAATAGAACATAATAATTGCGAACAAGAACCATGTCAAGTAGGTAAGACTCTACTGTAACAGAATACGTATTTATTACTATTTCAAACGGATGTAAGCTGCGATTCATGAAGATGCAACTAATACGTGAAAAAAGATGCGTAGTAGTTTTTTCGTTGACTCGAAATGGTATAATTTTCGACATTTTTATGTGTGGTCCAAGGTATTTTTGATTATTGCCTAGCGACTGTTTATTCTAATTAGATCCTTAGACGCAGATTTTGACGGGCTTTAATCTGGTATAAAATAGTTGATTATATCATTGATCCATTAGGTCGTTAAGGAAGGGGGGGGGGGGCGTAAATGTTTTTTAACACCCTGTAGAATATATATTTATTAGTTCTATTTCGTGTTCAGCTAGTCGATCCGGTATATATGTTAAGGAATTACAGAGAAGATGGTACTGAAGTTCGACTGTTTTGGGACGATGTTAAACAAATTGTTTGGGACATTGCACTCGAACAAATACGTGACAAAACTCATCCGTTGCGGGTGTTAACAATAGAGTGGGGCGAAGGTATGGATCGATTGATTGAACCTGCCTTTATTGAAATAGCAAAAAGTATTGGAAATCATACGACATTGATCAAATTGGATTGCACTATTAGGAGGTACTCACCGGGTACTAAAACGGATATGCTATTGGAAGCACTAAAAGATAATCAGTCCATTAAACATTTATCGCTACATTGCCACGAATTTGATTCGAATACAGCTCATGCATTCGCGCAAACGTTGATCAATAATCAAACTTGGCACAGTCTGAATTTAGCAATATACTCTTATGTTGGGCCCAGATTTGAGTAAGTCAATATGTCGTTGATTGAAGTACTTTTCTATACTATTTCATTATACACGTATATATTTCAGAATCGCTGAACCAATTGAAATTGGAACTCTTATTAAATTCGCTCCTGCACTACAAACAACTGCTCTTAAGCGGCTTAACATTGAGTGCTTTAGATATGAAGACTTTAAAGCATTGGTAGGATACTTGCCGAAGACATTGGTTTATCTTAATTTAGGGCAGAGCTTACTTGTGAAGGACAATATTCCTATTTTACGTTCGTATCTTGAATCAAATGGTAGTACTCTCAAAACATTGTTTCTCAATACTTCCAATATAGAATTAGACTTGAAACAAGAAGGATTATTGTCAATGCCGAAAACAAAAATCTCACGTTATGAGAGTTGGAAAGCAGAGGTTTTGCATAAAACAAAATCTTATTGTGTAACTCTATACTATATGTCCGACAGTGATTGGTCTGATTTATTTAAGGAATTAACAAAAGATGATACGATTGCTCGTGAAATACAGTTAGAAGCATATCAAACATTTGATGAAAACAATTTGAAATATATTAAAACTCTATTAGATAACCAGTTTCAATTAAAGAGTTTGGTCATGCCTCATTACTTTTTAGACACATCGATTCAAATTGAATTATTACAATACTTAAGAGAAAACAATACCATCACCAAACTTGAAATTTGTTTTGAAATGGATTCAAGTACTCTCAACGAGTTTTTGAGCCTTCTAAGAAGCAAAATTAATATTACCCACTTGAATCTGACTAATAATTTAAATATGACCGATGAACAAGCCATTATATTGGCTCAAATTTTGAAGAACAACACTGTTCTACAAAATCTTGCCCTGATTGATACTACAATTGGTGACGTTGGTTTTCAAACACTTCTCTCGTCATTGCCTATTTCATTATTTCATTTAATAGTGGACCACAGTAGAATCAGTGCAAAAAGTCTACCTTCTTTACTCGATTTTATTAAGACTCGTCCATTCTTAAAATACATTTCTCTGAAAACAAATGGTATCAGCGATGCAACCGGCGTAAATGTGCCTGACTTGATAGAGAAAATGATTCAAATTACAAATACAAATCATTGTCTTTTTGACTTGGACGTCAATGAGAATGTTAGAGAAACAATGTTAAACTTGACAGATGCTTGTATCGATTTAGGGTACAAACATTTACAAGATGACCATATGCTTGAATTATCTAATCAATTAAAGAAGATGTCTAATCAAAATTGGACACTGAATTTAGAATACAATACACAACTATCGCCTGTCGGATATCGTTATTTGGCTGATATTTTGTCCTCTACAATTACAATTGTTGATCTATGCGTTGCAAGCAATGACATGAGCGAGGAAGCGCGGACAAATCTTCTTAATAATCTTTGGAAAAATAAAACATTGAAAAATTTCAACATATGTAATAATAAACTTAACAATCAAGACATTGAATATGTTGGTCGTTTCATACAAAACAATTCTGTAATTAAAGAAATCGATCTTAGCATATGTAAAATCGATGATGATGGCGCTATCTGTTTAGCTAAATTTTTGGTTGAAAGCAGTTTGGAAAAATTAGACTTATCTCAAAATTCAATTAACGATCGTGGTTGTGCAAGTCTTCTTTCCTCCATTCCACCCACGCTAACGGATTTATTGCTTGATAATAATAAAATATCAGAATCAAGTTTGCAAACGATTCTTAATTTTCTTGCTGCTAATCGAACATTAAGAAAACTTACACTAAGTAATAATCCGATTTTCTTTAAAAAAGGTGACTCAAATGAATATAACGACGCTGTTTCGGAACAATTAAGTCAAGCTGCAAAACAAAATAATATTTGTGAACTTGATTAAATTATCATTTATATCTCTGTTTTTTTGCTCAATTATTTTACTTTATGAATTAACATTATTCATTTTAAATATAGCTCCGCATAACTAACGATATTTATTCTTCAAATAAAACAATCTTGTAGTAACGTACTGAAACTTACTGTAAATGTAATGGATATGTACAGAAGATTGTTGATCCCTTTAATTACCGCGCAGAAGAGCAAAGGACGAATAAACAGACTAGTCACTTTTCTAGTAGTGTTGTCATGTCCAGTCTGATCTTTTTCTCAAAAAGTCCTGGTACATGACTTGTCTGGATTTACTTTTAGTCCATATCTTACGTCTTGACTACTCAATTGATGGGCGACCTATTTTTGGTCTGTCTAGTCTTTTTTAGAAAGAAACTAGCCATGTATCATTTCTTGACGGTCGTCAAAAAAAACGATTAAATAAAATATGAGGACATCTATGACACCATGCATTCTAAACTATGGTTGAGTTCGGACTAGTCTCTTTGAAAGTGTTGCAGTACACTGTAAACTAGAAAA